GTTGAAGTGTTCAGGGAAAAAAAGGATTTCCTCTTAAAACATGAATATACTCAAGTTTGTTTTTCACCTATTGCTTTGCTGAAGGCCTTACACCGATTATCAGGAAAACACAAACATGTTGTATTATGTACTGGATGCAAGATGTGAAACACTGTTTCGCTCATATTTTCAAGGTTTGCGATAGTTTTTGGGAAAAAACTATTAAAACCATCGATTTCTTTATATTTTGCTGCGGAAATGGAAAATATGTCCGGTGAGTTAAAACATGCAGAAATACAGTATTCAGGGCGAATACAGAGTTTGCACAGTTCTGATGAGTTTAAATGTTCTTCATCACAGTCCGGACTCAATGCATTGTTGCTTAATACCACTTTAAAAACATTAGAATAAGGTTCGGCTCATTGGAATCAAAATATAAAGCACTCAAAGATGGCTCTAGAGTTTTCCACAATATTGGATGCCTGCATGTCCACAGATGAACAAAACTATGAGTTGAAGTCCAGTCAAATTATCGCCTGAGGTTTGTTAGTGACATATTCTATGAACTGCAAATCTGTTTAATTGAATGTTCACACAGTATGGGGATAACTGGATATTTATTCATTGATTTCAGGCCCGTGTCTTTGCAGCTGCTGTGATGTCCTTGATGTATGCTGTCTATCTTATTTTACGCATTCTAGTATAGGTTTTAGATCCCCTGAGAGCCTGGTCATAATAAGCAGTTTACTGACTAGATGAATGGGTTATTGATTTATGAGACCTCCCGCTAGAGACAGCTGGTCTTTCTCAGTCCGTTTGAACAGACTCACATATACGTAAATGCAGCGTGGCAAAACCAAGGTAAAAAGGTTGGAGCAGAAAAGTACAATACAAGTTTCAGCCCTTAAAGTTGAATAAAAGAAGTTAAAGTGTTCTGACGCAGTATTGTAAAAACCAAGCTGGTTTCATAAAGCTAGAGTTTACTCCAAAAGCTATTGTTTTTTTTGTGTTTGCTTAATATAATGGTAACATGATATGGAGTATAAGCTTACACACAATGCAGTGCATTATATCGATAACCTTACAAATAATGGACTTGCTGTAGTGTGTAGAAGGGTCAAATGGCTTTAGAGACTTTGTTTCTGGAGCTCACCTGCTGTATAAGCGGTGTGACCAGTCCAGCAACTCTGCTCAAGTAGCATTACGTAAACATTACTGTGAACACACTGGAATGCAGCTCAGTAATGTTAATCCACCCTTCAATGGGACCTCACTAAACTTGCTTGGTTTCCTTCTCACTTCACTGGCTCCACATCAGCAGCATTCCTTACCAGCTACCAGAAGACCAAAGTGAAGACATGGCTATGTGCAGTCAAACAGTTGCTACTTGAGTATATAAAAAGAAAATCAAGAAGTGAAAAGATAAGATTAGTATGCCATTTGCCACTGAACATTGCTACCACTGCCTCAAAGCCATGACAGATTACATGATATTAGTGGCCTCATAAGTTGTGAATTGCAATGTTCCTTCTGCCTTCAGCAGCTCTAAATATATGGTGATTTTCTAGATTAGATACATCTGGTGAGAAAAACCAACAAACTAACAAACACTTCATATCAGGGACTAGTCTAAACTTCCCACTTGCTGAGTGCACACATAGAGCGGCGTTGCAGTTTTACCTCAGGCCTTTCCGCGCATGGGATTTAGAGCAAGTGCGTTTAAAAACTCATCTGTCATAACCTATGGACAGAAGTGTGATAGAAGGTTTGCCAGTTCAACCCCGGTGCCAAAGCGCTGTCTATGCATTATTCAATTTTAAATGCCGATAGTGGTCGGCCTTTCTGCCCCAGGGGGTTGACTGTGGAGTGAGGAAGAGTAAAATCTCCCGGCCTCAGAGCAGAGTTTGAAATCGGGTCAGTGGTTGTGGTAAAGCGAGCAAGCCCTTTTATCAACAGGGACAGAAATAGTGAGTTTGATAGCTCTCCATGAGTTTTCGGCTCTAGATCTCCGGAGGGGTGGAGAGCAAATGTCAGTGAATGAATTAGTTGACAGGTAGGGCGATAGGGGGAGGTTGAGGCATCCTTGATCTGGTGTCTTCTTCAATGGTGTCAGTTATCAGGACATCGACACTCTTAGATCGCATCTGCCTCCTGCGTCTGTCAAAAATGCAAGTGTCGGAAGAGATCACTATGGGAGACAGAGACGTGTTTCACGCTAATAAAAATGGAAATCTGAAAGAAGGGAGATATATTTGTTTGAGAGGCTGCACTTTTCTGTATAGTGATGGCTCAAAATAAAGCAGAAAACGTTCTAAGTTAACCGTGGAACTGTTCAAACAAGTCAACGCTGCTACAGAATGCTAATAATATAATGTTGACAAGAAAAATGCAAATGTTGAACTTAAAAAAATCTAGTTGAAAATACTACTGTTGAGCGTCACGGAGCTGCTAATATTTCATATCTCACATTGTAAATAGGAGCCTTTATGAAATTTTAAGAGCATCTTTCAAGTCTCATAAAACTTAGAATCTTCCAAACCTTTTTCACTACAGACTAATCTCTCAGTAATTTTAGTATCTGAGTGCCAAAGGAACGCCTGATATGGTTTTGTGACTTCAAAAACATGATCCATCATATGTCAAGAATTTACCATCTAATTATGACAAATGTTCATTAAATATTAAAAAGAATCATTGAGGATTATATGCCTGTAATATTAATGTGTTCTGCCAAGATGCTACTCATTATTATCAGGATTATATTTTACATGTAGCCAGCTGCTGAACTGGTGACTTTCATCTTTCCACCTTGAAATTGTGTTGATTGATTCAAACTGACCAAAAGTGATACCCCATGTTTGTAATTCCTGTTGCCTTTTGGGATAGTTGTGGCTCATGAGACCAAGCTGGATTGAATCACTTTTCTTTTAATTGGGTGTTAATAGTATGCATGAAAAATCATAGCATAGGTGGTATTTTAGGATTCTCATCTTAAGTCTTGAGATCCAGAAAGTTTTTGCCATTTCCACCTGACATCGACAAAGAAACGTGTCGCTTTTGCGTTGGCCAAGGGAGCGTACTATTTTGGTAACTCATATGAACTCGGCTACCTGCAAGGTTGCACTGTTAAAAGTTCTAGTTGTTACTTACTCATTGTTTGGTGTGTAGTTTAGTGCATTTGCTCAGTCAAAACATCTTGCTTGTTGATGCGAACGGTCTTTAGGTGTGACTGTTGTAAGTCTGTTGTAGGTTAGTTAATAAACTGACCAATCAAAACGTGTTTTCTTGTTATGTGATGCTAGGAAAGGACAGATTTAATCTTAACAGCACCATCAACGAGACATTTTAATAATTAAATGTGAACCTGAAACCGTTCGTTGACATTTGTTTGTTAAGGTGGCCTCCGTTTTTCTCTGTACCAGTTGAGTGCACAAGCTGTGTTTCTTGGCAGCATCATGGATCAGTTCACAGAAATTCTCAAACTAGCCATGAACAGGCAGAAAAAGCAGCATACTCTTTCATGGGTAGACAGTCAGCCTTCACAACAAAACAAAAAGATATGGATGCAGCAGATGCTCAATTTCACTCACAAAACCCCATGTTTGATAGATGAGTCCCTAATCAGAATGATTTCCTATTAAAATGTTACACAATCTCTTGTATTTAACAATAACTGATGGAGAGAAAGGATGACCATCAGACAGGTTCTTCTGTTGTGAAACCTTGACCCCCTCCGTCTTTACTGCCCAGCTTGCTTCTCCCCTCCTTCTCTGTGGCAGTATAACCCCTATGATAGCAAACACTGGGCCAGCCACCTGATTGTAACAGCAAGTGACATTTCCAAGATGCCACAGATTCCTCCTGACAGAGAGAGAATGCTCATTCCTGAAAGAAGCATCCTGGAGTTTTATCCTGGAGTTATTATTCTTTGTGTGTGAGTGTGTGCGTGTGTGTGTGCGTGTGTGTGTTTGTGTGTGTCTGTGTGTGTGTGTGACAAGTATTTCTTTTTGATGCAGTTTTCAAAGAGGGTTACCGCTGGAAAAAAAGGGGGGGGGGGGGGGTAAATGTTTGATGTTGAAAAGAAATCTCGCAGCATGTTGTTGCCGTGTTGGATCCTGTTGGCTTGTTAAGGCCTTCACAACACTGAGGCTGTACATCTGTAAGTAAGATGCAGGAACCTCTGTGTAGCAGTGTATCTGAGAGTGATGTGTTTTATCAGTGTGAAGCAGTCTGGACCGAATGGACTAGGTCAGCTAATCCCACTTTGCTATCCTACCACTCTAATAGGATTTACATGAGGGGGGGGTGGAGACCTCCGGTCTTTGAAATATTTCTCCACATATCTTTTTGCCTTCTCTTTCTTGCCACGGCTTCATCCATAATTCACCCTCCTGTTCAAATGTCTTTTTAAGCCTCTTTCCTGACGTAATATCTTGATCTAGTAGCTAGTGAGGGATGGATGAATGAGTAAGCCTTATCGTGCCCTGTCACCCATCTACCACCGCCCACCCTCTTCATACACTCTCTGAAACTCTAAAGAGACATAATGCAGATTTTTGGGCTGGGCTTGTGTGGCTGTGGGTATTGAGGTGAATACCCACAGCCACAATTCCCATTTTTACTTTGGCCTGATTTCCACTGCCCGGCTCTGACAGCGCTTTGGTATTCCTTTGTATCAAGCCTGAACTGATCAATACGTTGCCTATACTTTTGTGTTAGCCTTGAAATTTAAGACAACCTTCCTCTGTTTTAATTTAATTCATTGCATCATCCCTCAAAAATTCACTGAAGCAAATTACAAGAAAGAAGGTGTAAAGTGAAAGAGAATAAGAAGGAGGAACACTAGCACTATACCCACTAGAGCTTATGAGTCGAAGTACTTTTTTTGTTTTTTTTCTTGTGAATTGAGTCTTGAGAACTTTCGAAGTATGCATGGTTGTGGGAGAGTTCGCAGAAAGGAAACAAAGCAAGGAAGAAAAGCCTGAGGACACTATTACATATGTCCAGTGCTGAGAGCGGTAATGGAGAAGGTTGGGATTTTCTGTGAGAGTTTCAGAGTTAAGAACAGAGATGAGACCCCGCAGAGAGATAAGGTCAGAAACGATCCATATTTGAGCATTTTTCTGTTTATTTGTTTGAACACTGTCTTATTTTAAGCAAGTGTTTTCTGAAGCAGCAGGACGCCACTGTTGTAGCTGCTAGTTTTATACCACAAGGCTGCAACAGAAGTTCAGCTGATAAAGGTGATGAAAACAGTCTGGAAACAAAAACCATCAGAGCTGTTTTCAAGCCACTAAGCAATGTTTTGACAATGTTCTGTAATGACACCTAACAAGCTGTTTACTTGGTGCTGTGCAAGCGGCTTCTGTAGAGGTTTGAGGAGGGATTTTTGCTAAAAGCAGCTGTGACAGTTGACCGATCGGTAAAGGTAGAAAGAAGAGGGCCCTTAAACACTGTTCAAGAGTCTAGTTTTCTTTTTTATTTGCCTATTTTCTTCACGGTAGTGGATTTTTACAGCATATTTACTGTGCAATGGTGAAGAAAACTAAAGCTAAGAAGAGAAATAAAGAAGAAAAAAGTAGCAAAACTCTAACACAGCTCATGTACAGGTACAACTTTTCACCAGTTCACCCCTTGGCACTGTGACTTTCTGTGAGGGGCAGTTTAACAAACAAATGCCTCTTGGGGGGACCAGAAGCTTCTTTCTATTTAGCCAGGTACCCTCTAACCAGCCTCTCTTTCAAGATCATCTTCTCATGCACCTTCAGCCCAGATCCAGACTGATATTTTTTAAATTGCTCTTTTGGAGACTGTAAATTCTGACACTGATGTTTCTGATCATCACTAGTGTGAGAGAAGGGTCTCCAGCTTTAACCCACAGACTAAACAGCCGCTTTCAGCGAAAAGTAAATAGTGGCCAAGAACACCAGGTCAGGAGCTTTTACTGTCACAGGGATATTCTGCTCTAATGTCCTGATGCGCCTGAGCGAGACTGCTCAGCAGAAATGTCCTGAACTGTGGTGCATGCCACTTTACACAGAGCCTTTTTGAACAGATCAACATAATCTTCACTCACCACCCACCTTAATCACTAACGAATACAAATTGCAGCAGCTCTATAATGAGTTCAAAGGTGCACAAGATCACTGGTTAGATTTAAATCAAGTATGATTTGGCACGTATTGACTTTTAGAGTCATAGTCTGGGAAGAAAGACAAGAAAGTTAAATAAGTTAGAGGAGAACTGTCAGGTATTGACTGTATATTATTCTTTAAAGAACATCTATCCAAAAGCGATTCACCCTTAAGCCAAACTTTACCAACTCCAGCACAGCTGAAAATGATATCTTTAGTAGCAATGCTGTGACTGCCATGCAGATAACTACTATAAAGTTGGCTGGACTTGTAAAAAATAGAAATCTGCCCCTACCTTTATCCGCAGAGCACTCCTACAGAGGAGTGCTGTGACTGAAATGCCATGCTACAGGAGGTTATGAAAAATTAAAAATGTCCTCTCAGGGGGTAAAGCAGTCACAGAGAGAGGGAGACAGAGACAGACACAGAGGAGATCTATAAGTGGCAGCAATGTTAGCCCAGCGATTGATTCGTGCTCAGGAGATTGCCACAGATACATCCTGCTGACCGCCTCCTGTCCTTCCTTCGTGACCTACAGGCATCACTTCTGGGAGTGTTAATGTGTGACACAGCGTGGAAAAGCTTTCAACAGAGCTTTTAAAACGTCCCTATTTTTTAAAGGAGTCGACAGGACAGAGATCTGGTTTGCTAGCCCTCTCTTACTTGCCGCTTTCTGTAACTCTCTTTTGTTTTTCTTTTGAAGTTTTGACAGGCGCACTTTTTAGTTCAGAACTTGTTCACACTACGTTCTACGGTCAGTTCTCCCGTCAGTATTTACGATTAAATTATAGACACTGGCACCAACCTGCTGTTAGGCATTTACTGCAAAAAGTTTTTAATGGGTTCGACTATGTGAATTTAATATTCACAACATTTGTTTGGAAACATTTAATCAAATTTATTAATATTTCAAAGGAAATCCTTATTTTAGATGTTCAAGAACAGCTGATAAACTTGTTCTGTACTCAACTAGAAGGCAAGGAAGTCAAACAGACAGCAAGTGGAAAGTAGAGAGAGATTTTTAGGACTTAGGATATTTTGTAGGGTATAGTGTATTCGTTTTGGAGGGGGGGACACTAATAGGTCACCAGCTATTGCAGACCAGTTTTTATGTCTCTACAGTGTTGACAGCCATGGCTGAAGGCAGATGTCCTTTGCACTACTTTTTTGTTGCTGTGAACACAGAGTTTTACGAACACCACAAGGGTAGGGCTGTGCGATATGACCAAAACCCGATATAAGAATTCTATCGTCCCGATAACGATATAAATCACAAAAATGTAACATTTTCTGTAAATTATGTGAATCTCGGGCAGCTCGACTTGCGTGAAGTGTTTCCAGCTGCGCGTCATGTAGCTGGAGTCGAGTGTTTTAACCGATGCATGAAACTATACATTTTTAGACATAAGTTGTAAAGGCCACCGTTTTCTTTGTGAGTATTTATTACACAGCGTGCTGCGGGGAAAAGCCTGTTCTAACGTTTGAGTCTAAGGTTTATTTTTTAGCACCTGACGGCTCTTTTTTAATTCTCATCCGTAAATAATCTGCTCTTTCACGTGATTCAGTTTATTTTGAAAAGTCTCAACAGGATCTTGAGCTTTATTGTGAAAGGTTTATGTGGAACATAAACAAGCGGACACGCAATGCTGTTACCGTCGCTGTTGCTAACCACAACGCATAAAAACAGGCGCTTGTCCGTCAGTAGTGTGGTTATATTAAATATAAGAGAAATTAATATAGCCACTACAGTGACCATCAAAACGATGAAAAAATATTGCCGTAAACAGTTCATTTTGCGACACCATGAAACAAACGATAGCGTAAAATGAAACGATAGACGTTTTTATATCGTCATCCGATACATATCGTTATATCGAACAGCCCTACTCGAGGGAATATCCTCAAATTTGTCACTAAATGATTTAGACGCACGCAGGGTTAGAATTTGGTGGTCAAAGGTCATTTTAACCTCACAGAACACATTTGGCAGTAACTTGCTCATGTATAACACTTTTTAGGAGGTATAAAATAACATACTGTCAGCTACTTCATACACCACAACTAGAACAAGAAAACCTAGTCATGTTATTTTAGTTTATTTTTACTTATATAACCGTATATCCCTAAATTTGGTACAATTTGTTACAGAAAATGGCATCCTTTGACGTTAAATATGGATGTATACTTGACTAATTGGTGGAGGTATATAACCTCAAGGTGGTGAGTTTTATTACACCCTGCAATTAGTTATTTTCTGAAGTGCAGTACATTTGTCTCTTGTCAGAATGCCTTTTGGCTATTGAAAATTACTCAGCAGGTTTAATCATAGGGTAAATTGCATGAAAGGTGCAAAATTAGCTCTGTTGATTATGGTACCAGATCTCATGTGTTTTTTTGCCTAGTTATTCATAAGAAGATACAGATACCTGTGGGCTGTTATTCACTTGTAAAATGTCAGGAAGGTAAATGTCAGGAAGCCAGGAAGAATAATCATTGAGTCGTAAATCCTCCGATGAGTTTCTGCTACATTTTTAGTGCTTACTGCCTTGTGTTGTCTTCTGCATGAAGCAGTGTTTGTTCCTGAAAACTGGTCTTGCTGGTGGCTATGCAAACTGAAGGAACATGTGAATATACTTTTTGTTGATGATATTCAAGTAAGCAAAGTGTAAACTAGAGGTTCAATGTTCACGTTTGTTCACTTCCACCACACCCACCTTCAGATTCTTGGCGTCCTTATATGGTTGTCTCTTCCTGACACCTGTGCGCCTGTTGAACAGGACCCGTCCCTGTGATGCAGTCTGACCTGTTCCTGTCTCACCAGCTCTTTAGTGTTTGTCATTGTCCTCAATGGCCTGAAACTCTAATGAAATATTTATATCTTGCTTAAGTTCAAATCATTTATCATAATATCCAATGAAGAATGAAAATAAATAATACAAAATAACTGATTTGTATTTGATTAAAAACATAATTATAAATAATCTTGGCATAGTTCAGAGGCTTAAAATAATATAGATATTTAGTCCCTCAGCTTGTTTTGAGTAGTGTGACACTTTTCATTGTAGCTCAGTGTGTGTGTGTGTGTGTGTGTGTGTGCGTGTGTGTTTCCTGTTGGTTTTACTGCAGCTTAAGTGCTAATGTGCCAGTGTGGCAGATTTTCCAGAAGGATAAAGGGTTTAAAAAGAGGCACAGACTTTGCGTGGCTCAAAAAACAGAAGCACTTTAATCGGTGATGGCAGCATTATTATTTAAGAGAATGGCAAATATACAAAGTAATGCATAAAATGTACTATCCACATATTATTTTACAGTAGTTAAAAAACCAAGAACTCTGTCAATTGCTGATAATTTTGCAGCATTTTAGTCAAAATTGTTAAAGCCTAAATCTTCAAGAAAAACCAAAACAACAAGAACAAAAAAAACTACTATGATGGTCACTTAACCACTCTTGCTATTAAGCATCCATCCAACCATCCATCAGCTTATCGGCACCAGTTCGTGGGGGCAAAAGCCTAAGCAGAGAAGCCCAGACCTCCATCTCATTGGCCACCTTCTCCAGCTTGTCCGGGAAAACACCAAGGCGTCCTGGGTCTGGCCTGGGGCCTTTTCCCGGTGGAACATGCTTTTAACATCTGACCCAGAAGGCACCCAGGAGTCATCCTTGTCAGATGCCGAACTGCCACAACTTGCTCCTTTTGATGTGGAGGAGTAGCGGCTCTGAGCCCCTCCCAGATGCCCGAACTCCTCACCCTATCATAAAGTTAGAGGCCAGCCACCTCTCTGAGAAATCTCATTTCTGCCGCTTGTATCCACGATCTTGTTCTTTTGGTCACTACCCAAAACTTGTGACCATAGGTGAGCGCAGGGACATAGATCAACCAGTAAATCGAGAGCTTTGCTTTTACGCTCAGCTCTCTCTTAACCATGACAGTCCAGCACAGCGTCCGCATCACTACAGC